ATTATGTGAGCCGTTAGAACATAGAAGACGTATTGTTATGTTTTAAGAAGAAAATAAGAAGAAAATAAATTCTTTCTTATATAACTTCATCCGATAAAAATCTAAAATATTACATCTGAAAGTCTGTTATATAATACGGTCATGGAGTATTACCTTACTATATGAATAAGAAAAATAATATTGTTATAAATAGGGAAACAAAAAACCGGATATAAAATAAGTGTACATTATTGTATATAATAAAATAATACTAATTAGTATTATATATAAAGATTTTTAAAGAGTTTTGTTTTTTATTTGCATATTTGCGAATAAAATAATAGCGTAATGAAAGAAGGAAATAATTGTAAAAATTGGTAAGAATTAAAAAAAGGAAATCGCGAGGAATAAATTAACTGAGATGTTAAAATGTGTATTGTTACGTTATAAGAAGAATGGCCTGAAGATTTGTATTTATGATTTAGAGAATATTTCCACAAGATGTACCACTAATATAGTTAATAAAGAAGATTTTCAAATTTTGTAATTTATATGATATTCATGCTTTACAATAATAAAAAACATTATATCTCATTATATGGTGTATTCCCTTTATTATGCAATATAATGACATCGATATAAATTTATAATTTAAATACGAGCCGTGCAACGCACGGGTGTGATACTAGTGTGTATATATATATATATATACACACACATACATACATACATACATACATATATATGTATGTATGTATGTATGTATGTATGTATGAAAATTAAAATAACAATCATGGTTACAACGATAAGGTATCTGCTACCTCACTTCATTTTGTACTCCATTTTATACTCTAAAGATTTATCCTGACATAGAATGTAAGTGCAACACTGACATATAATGTCAGGGCAAAGCCTTGAGGTACAAAATGAGGTACAAATATGGGTTCAAGTAGAATTTTCCAAACTATAAACCTCACCCTCCTTTTAAAACTTACCCTTTTTCCCCATTATTTAGATATTTTTCAATTTGAGTAAATTACATAATTGATCTTTTATAACAAAGGGGTTTCCTTATTTAGTCCTCTATTATCAAATATTATCATGGTGATCCTTCTTTTATAGGTATCTTTCCACAAATAATTCTTTTTTTGATTTTGTATCATGTTAGTTTTAATTTGAGGGCTAAAAGTGTAGTTTCAAAATGATAATATATCTTTCTTGTCATATACAATTCCAAAGGTCACTCCCGATGCGTCGTTTGTGAATTACAGTCACTTTCTACTATAACCATAGTCTTCAGATATGAATTTTTTTCAGAATCCTAACCCATAATAATAATTATTATTCTTGTGTTATCTATCTAACCAATATCAGAATACTTCATTGGACATAAGGTTGATGTCAAATTATACTTTTACCTTTTAAATTAACACCATCATGTCAGATGATAAAAAAGAATCATTTGTGGAAAAGTACCCATAAAAGAAAGACCATAAGGGTAATATTTGATAAGAGATGACTAAATATGAAAACCTCCTTGTTATAAAGGACCAATTATGGAATTTACTCTTTCAATTTTTTAAAAGTTTTCTTCTTTTGTGTTACGATAAAGAGAAGCGCAAGAAGGGACCGAATCCCAAAGGGATTCAGTTTGGTATTTTTCTATTTTAGTTTAGTTCTCGTTTTAAAAAATAGGATTATGGTAGGAATAGAAGTTTATCTATTTACTTTTACCCTCTTCCTATACAAATATGATTAAATCTTTGTAATCTTCAAGACAATTCAATATAGAATTTTTGTCTCCTCCAAAGGGATTGGATTCTCTTTTCTATCTCTCTTGTAACATTTTGGTTTAGAAAAATATAGCTGAATTTTGAAAAAAAAATGAATGATTTGAAAGAAGCGAAAAGAATTTAAAAAAGAAAAAACTAAAAGGAGTGGATAAAAACTAGAAAGAAATTTTAAAAATGTTAAAAGTTTAAAGTTAAATCCAAAAAAGAGAACCTAAATATACCACAGCTGCCTGCAACAAACTATTTTAACAAAAACTCATAGCTATTAATGAATCTAGGAAAACAATCTAGGAAAACAAGAAAGAAGAGTATTTTATTTTCAAACTTGAAAAAATTGGACTATGATAGAAACTGATACAATTTGATAATAATTGGTCTTATTCAATATTGAAGGATACTTCTGAATTACATGAGAGAGTTTCAATTCAAGTAGGAAAAGAATATAACAATAAGGAAATAGAGAAATAAAGAAAGGAATTAATTAATAATATTCTATTTCCTAATATCCCCCGCAAGCTGATCAGCGGAGACAAGGGGCAGCTTGGAGCACAAGTATTCGAATGGAACTGGCGAAATCGGCTTCATGAGAATGTCTGCTAACTGCTTTGATGAAGGAACATTGTCATAGTGCCTACGATTACTTCATCTCGTACAAAGTGACATTCTGAACCAACATACTTCATACAATCATGTAGAACCGGATTTTTGGTGACACAGATTGTTGACTCATTGTCACAGTATAAGCGATGTTTCAGTGGAGGAATGTCCAACTCATCAGTAATATGGCGTAGCCACATAGTTTCGGCCACGCCTGCAGCCATAGCACGATATTCAGCTTCAGTGGAAGATCTGAAACACGAATCCGCTTTTTTCGTACACCAAGAAATGAGATTGGGACCAAGCAAGAGGATGTAACCAGTGGTAGACTTGCGATGATCTTTATCTTTCGCCCAATCAAAATCAGAGTTAACAGATAGATCGAATTCCCCTTGCGAAAAAGAAGACCACGGTGTAGAGTACCTTTATTGTAGCGTAGGATACGCGGCAAGGCGTGATAATCTTGCTCGGTCGAGTTGTGCATAGTTTGAGACATCCGATTAACAGCATACTCGATATCCGGACGAGTAACAACTAAATAATGCAAACCACCAAAAATACTCTGAAAGTGAGATGGGTCCTTGAAAGGAATAGAAGGCTTGATGACAGGCCTAGCCGCCATGGGAGTAGCGGCGGGATGACATTCAGACATCCCTGCCAGGTGTAAGAGGTCACATGCATATTTTGTCTAATGGAGTACCATGGAATTCTTGGTGCGCCTAACTTCCATGCCAAGGAAGTAATATAGAGGACCAAGTTATTTCAACTTGAAGTCGCGGTGCATGGCCTGAGTAACTTAAAATATGAGGGCAAACGAGCTTTCAGTAATGACAATACCATCAACATAGACTAAGACAATGATTGTTCCTCGAACATAGTGGCAATTAAAGAAACTGGTATCATGAATACAACAACAAAATCATAGGCCGTGCAAAAAAGAGGACATGCGTGTGTACCACGCACTTGGTGCTTGTTTGAGACCATGCGAGGACTTCCGCAGCTTGCGAACATAGTGTGCCCGTTGGGGATTTATGTATTATGGTGGCTGCTCGGTATAGATATCCTTGTCCACAGTGCCATGAAGAAAGACACTACTATCATCCAACTGATGAAGAGGCCAATCACGATTAAGAGCCAAGGAGAGAACAACGCGTATCGTTTGTTGTCTAACAACAGGGTTGAAAGTCTCTTTATAATCAATATCATACTCCTGATGATAACCTTTGGCTACAAGACGATCCATATACCTTGAAACTGATCCATCAGTGTTCCGTTTAATACGATACACCCATTTGCAACCAATCAGAGTGTGATTCTTAGGCGGTGGCACCAAATCCCGTGTACGTTGTTTATTCAAAGCAACAAATTCATCATCCATAACTTGACATCAAATACTATTTCCAGAGGCTTGGTGGTATGTGCAAGGCTTGGTGGTAGGGGAGTCTTATCAAGAGTGGTGATGGTATAAGCTTTTGGCTTGAAGATTCTAGATTTGGCACGGGTTTGCATAGGATGCGTGCTTTGGGCTGATGTACGGTCGACCATGGTTGTCGGACGACCCATGGGATCGACCTTCTGTAGGGTATCCAGAAGGAGTTGTTGGGACAGTCGACCGTGGTTAGGGGTACGGTTCAGGTGGTTGATCGCTTGTAGCATGTCTAGAATAAGTTGTTGGGACGGTCGACCGTGGTTGGAGGTACGACCCTTTTGCTCGACCGTTTGTGGCATAATGTTTTTGTGCGGTACTTGAGCATGCGAGCCTTGGCTTGGTGGGAAAATAGGTGAGATATGGGAGCTGGACGAAAGAGACGACAGTCTAGAATATGGAAACTGATCATCGACAAACTGAACATGATGAGAGACATATATTTTTTGAGACACGGGATCATAACATTTATACCCTTTAATGGTAAGATGATATCCTAGAAAGACACATGGAGTAGAGCAGGGCTGAAGTTTGTGTTGGGTGTGAGCTCCAACGGAGGTACAAGCGTTAACTCTTTGTACATTATTAGGGTGAAAAAAATTATGATTGTATATTATAAGAACAAAAAAGATAAAAAATCTTTTTGAATATGACTAAAAAAGTATGAAAATATCAAAAATAAAAGTTAAGTCTTTTAGGACCAAAATAGGAGTATAATAGTAGTATGATGTTAGATTACACGTTGACAGTGTGATAGAAAAGTGATGACATTGTAATATATCATTATGATCAATCAACTGTTGGCAATTCCCGACGGCAACGGATGGCAGTGTGCCGGTAATAGTGTGACAGTTACAATGTGACAATGTGATGAGTTTGGCAGTGTAACAATGACATCGATTGACTAAAATTATGTTCAAATCATTTTATACGAAAAAAGGTGTGAAATTAAAAAATAAAAATTACATATTAAATAACTACATCAAAAAATCTACAAAATTAGAGGTGACACGACTATATTATTTTATCAAATAAATAAAGAAAATAAGTCAAAAAATATAATAAAATTTGACCCTATGAATAGTGAACGAGAAGATAATGTTTAGAGGAAGATATCATTTTTTTAGATTTTTGGAGTTCTCCCAAAAAATATTTCGAGTTATATCTTGGGTGATAAATATAATCGGGTATGATAAAATCGAGGGGCCAAACGGGGGTTTAGACGTCGTTACTCTCCGGCCGTCTAACGCTTACCGGTCCGACGCTTCGCCGTCTCGGCCACACAAAAAGTGCCGTCTACTGTGTCTCTGTGTGCGTATATATACATTGGCTCTCCATTTCTGGCTTCAGCTCCCACAAATCCGCGAGCTTGTTCTTTCTCTCTCTCTCTCGATCTCTCTACTTCGTTGTTTTAATCTCAGGGAAATGGGAGAGGAGAAGTCCAAGCCCGCCGGCGGCGTCTGGCCGACTGTGAAGCCCTTCGTCAACGGAGGTTGCTCCGGCATGCTCGCCACCTGCGCCGTGCAGCCCATCGATATGATCAAGGTATGTTCTTTTTCCTCTTTAAACTCGAAGTAAACTCAGTTTACATTGCAGATCTCCGTATGAGATCTTCAATTTATGTTGCTCTAGATTGGTATTTGAATCATCTGGCTGGCATCGGGAGTTCATGAATCTCAGATCTCCTTAGCTTTTTTAAGCATCGGGAGTTCATGAATCTCAGATCTTGCCGTGCAGCTGCTTTGCTAGGATCTGCATTACATATTACTTGAAAATAAATTGCGCTTAGTTTTGATTTGATTCGTTTGTGATTTTATAGGTGAGAATCCAGTTGGGCCAGGGATCAGCTGGCCATGTTGCCAGGACTATGTTGAAAAATGAAGGGTTTGGTGCTTTCTATAAGGTTTGTAATTAATTGTGCTTTACTGTAATTAGTTAGTCACTTATTTGCCTTACCCATAGATCTGAATTGTGATTTGAATCTCTAGTCAAATTCAAGTCAAAGTATGTTGGTTGAGATGGACCTATACCTGTCTTATTCATCTACCTGAAGTTTTGCTAGTTAGTCTGTTGTTGTGATGCAAGTCATATTCAAGCTCTGCAGGATGCAGGGTAACTTCTGACTGACCCTTTTTAAGGGGAAGACTATGGATAGGTTAGTCTATATACTGGATAATGGAATTGAAATGCTGTATGTCTACCTATTATGTTATGAATGCCTTCAATTTTTATAAATAAAACCTGAAATTTATTCATCCAGACCGGGTTTAAGCTTTCTTCAAGTTCAAATTCATTCGGTTTTAGTTAGATCCTGCTTAACTTGGTTAATCATTGCCTAGGTGTTAGCTCTCCTAGATGTCTAAGTATTTTTTCATGGTCAAGCTCACATTTTCTTCCCAGCTCCTGTTACAACATTGTGATTGACCACCTTGTCCATCGTGCATATGTACCATATCTATGGAGATAACCTTTCTTTTAACATCAACTTGTCATGTCAAACAGGGTCTGTCTGCTGGACTTCTTAGGCAAGCTACATATACAACTGCCCGGCTTGGAACATTCAGGTAAATTCTTGTGTTCTTTAGAGCAATTGATACTGCCATGTTATTAACTTGGGATTTTTATCACAAAATACCCCCGACCAAGAATCAAGATTTATCTTATTGACGTTTGAAAGACTTGATATCTTTCTTTGCCTTGGTTGGGTGTGTTAAATGAGAGATACTTCCATTGTGTAATTGTTGATGCCACGTTCTCTTCGGGTTCAAGTTTCCAACTCCTATATTGCTCCTATTGATTTGTAATCAAAAGTATGTTTCGCATTGAAATTCTTGTCCTGAAGTTGAAGGAGCATTGTCAGTGTTATACCTTCTCTTTGAGGGCCAGTTAGGAACTTGGAAATTAGTTGGGAAAGAAAGCATGCAGGAAAGCATCATGGAAAATTGGAAGGAACAAAAGGTGTAGGGGATAATATAAGGTTAATATGTGTTGAATTTTAAAAGAGCCAATCATATTGCAGTTTCCTTAGGAGTGTTTGATGTGGAACCCTATAATAACTTAAAGATCTTTTCCACATTTTAAACCAAGTAAATGCTGCATCATCATTATTATGAGTTTTGATTGATCCTTTCCTTTTCTAATTTGGGGGCTTCTACAACAGAATCCTAACAGACAAGGCTGTGACAGCCAATAATGGGAAGCCTTTGCCTCTATACCAGAAGGCACTGTGTGGACTAACTGCAGGAGCAATTGGAGCATGTGTCGGCAGTCCTGCTGACTTGGCACTCATCCGTATGCAAGCCGATGCGACCTTACCTGCTGCTCAGCGACGTCACTACAAAAATGCCTTCCATGCACTATACCGCATTGTTGCCGATGAAGGCTTTCTATCCCTTTGGAAGGGTGCTGGACCTACAGTTGTGAGGGCAATGGCATTGAACATGGGGATGCTTGCATCTTATGATCAAACTGCAGAGTACCTTAAGGATTCTATTGGCTTGAATGAGGTTCCCACTGTGATAGGTAAGATAAGGAACATATAATGTTGGAGTTTATTATTGAGAATCCTAAGGTTCCAACACCATCCTTAGGGCCAAGAACAGGGTGAATATGTGTAGGTCTAGGAGGGATGAAGAACACACAATGCAACATGGAACCTGAATTTTAGAGGAAACCATGGGTCTTTTTCCAGCTAAGCAAAACCAAAAACATTCTTTATTGACTCTTGATGCCCACCTAAGTATTTATGTAGTTGGTCTATTTCTTGATCAATATACCATTTCTAAAACTGAAAATATGAATGCTCTTTGGAATGCTCCCTCAATAGGGTGCTGGATACTTAAAATAATACATGCACGTTTTAAAAATTTCCATCTTCTAAAAATGAAGAATTTCCTGACCTCTATGCCCACTTTTTTGTTTTAGGGGCTAGCGCGGTGTCAGGATTCTTTGCTTCAGCTTGCAGCCTACCGTTTGATTACGTAAAAACCCAAATACAGAAGATGCAACCAGATTCTGCCGGGAAATACCCCTACACTGGCTCTTTGGATTGTGCTTTGAAAACACTCAAGGCCGGAGGGCCTTTAAAGTTCTACACTGGATTCCCGGTGTACTGTGTTAGGATTGCTCCTCATGTCATGGTATGTTACTCTATACCCTCCCTTGAGTCATCCTGCCTCAGTGCATAAAAGTACGAAACAACATTAAGTACCTCCATCCCAGTTAAAGTTACTTTTAATTTAATTTATTTACGGTAGGGATCTTTTGACCTTTGAAAGCTGGGTCATATCATGATTCGAGTCACCTACACTGTTTTATTTGTAAAATTGATGATTCTTGTCCCCTGCACCCTAAACCCCCTTCGTCCTTGCGATCTAGGAGGGGCTTTGGGTCATAATATGTGACCTTGGTTTCAAGGTTAAAGGATCCCTTCTGATTTATTTAATAACTGATGTATACTTTCTTGAATAATGGTCTATTACGGAGTATGATTCTTCACATAGATTAAAATTTGGTGAATATGTCCACATTAACTACGTAAAAGTTCTACAAAATAAGAGTTGATCAAACACCCGTTTTTTTTCGTATGCAGTTGACATGGATATTCCTCGACCAAATCAAGAAGACTCAGATGAAATTGGGATTATAAATTTTAAATATTCCCGTTAGGAAGAGAGAGTTCAAAATTGGGGCTGTTCTATAACAATATTATTAATAACAACTGCATTGTTCTTTCTCAGTAGCAATGGGATTATTCTTTCTCGTTTTTAGACTAAACCATTTGGGTTTTCAGTAACTTTATTCCTTTTGGTAATAAGCTCCAAAGCTTATTCTTTGATCCTTTCACTTGTCCGTTTTGTGATCATGAGAATTATAGTAACTTTATTTATGCATTGTTTTTATCTTTGTTGAGGTTTGACAATTCTTCTAGGTTAAAAAATTCTTTCTTTCCAAATAATATTCCCTCTTTTTGGGACAATCCATAAAGGAAAGTTGACAAACCTCACAAGTCTTCGCAAAGTTGAACGTTTTTTCACTTTTCTTTTTTGGACGTCCAAAAAAGACTTCACACGTGTTCTATTTTCAATATTGGTAATGTATACATGGTTTAAAATACTTCTTTTTAATCTAAACCAATATTAATTATGAGTACTATTTTTTCATTTTTTTAATTGATTGAATATTTGAATCTCATGTATACAATGTGCCACTCATCCTTATTGGTGATCAAGATGAATGGGTGGTTGTCCTTTAAGGTGCCACAACCATCACGAGAGTGGCTTTCCCCTGCTTTTCAATTTTCAACTATTCATAATTTAACACAATTATTTCTACCAATCAAAATAATTTACACTTTTAATACATTTTTTTGTCACACGCTCTTTGAAGCATCATAACACATATTTTACTTATACCAACCCGCTTATGGGGTGCCTACGTGTATCCATTAGGCCCCCGTCAAACTACACCGTAATACATGGCGTAATAAAGTGTATGCGTAGTTCACAACTTCACGGCATGCCACTCATCCATTGTACAACGTCAGGATTACTTTACATGTCATGGTTTGTTAGTCTCTACCTTGACGTAGCTCAACTGGTCAACAAAGATACAAAAGACGGCATTGTGGCCGATTTGACTTCTAGCCAAAATAGTGTGGGACATTTGTGCTTTGCATAAAGTTATTGTTGGGGCTATACACACTTATTACACAGGTTCCTTTTCATGTTACTCGGTCTGAGATTAAAGCTTTATTTACCTATTCTCAGGTAAATAAAGCTTTGCCAATGTCGAGCCTGAGGGGACTCTTGGATGAAGTTAATCCTTTTTTACTCTATACCCTCTCTTAAGTCATCCTTCATCGAATATAAAAGTACTCCGTACTAAACAACATGATATACTCCCTTCATTCCATAAAAACATACGGAGTATGTTTCATAGAGTCAGAGACAGATACTCATATAAAGGCAGGAACGATGTTACATTTACTTTTCCGAATTAAAGGATATGGGTGAAAGAAGTATCCAAGTAGCAAAATGGGGACGTTTTGAGAATGAAAAATGTTAGTTAGAGCATCTTTACCCGTTCCCCTCACCTCCCCCCCTTCTCTATCTTCTTTTCCACTCCACATTACTTCCCTTTATAACTTTTCTCACATCACTTTAATAATTTTTCACAGTTTCTCTTCTTTTTTAAATGATGGACCTCACATGTCATAAATTTATTTTATCTACATATTTTTCGGTATAATAAACCAAGATACTTTGTTTGTGAAAAAATTATCTAAATTTATATTTTATGTTTTAATATAAAGTTATGTTCTGCAAATTTTTCTTTACATTTTATAATTTAAAATCGACATAAAATTATTACACTCGTAAAAGAAATCCTAAGCCACACAACACAACACCCAAACAATTTTTAAAGTTTACAATTTTCTTTTTGGTACCGTTTTAAAAAAACAGTAATAAAAATGGTTGTTTTTTGTTAATTAAAAGCTAACAATTTGAATACAAAAAAAATACGCCCAAAAAAATGATACTCAAGGAAAAAATAAATTCTTACCATTGTAAAAAACAATCCAAATTTCTATTTTTTTGTCTTGTTTTCATCATTTTCTTCCTCTACTTTTTTCTTTGTTTTTTCTTCTCCTTTTCTTTCTTCTTTCCCTTTCTTTCTTTCTCCCATCTAGTGCATCTTGTTTCCCCCTTGCTTCTCTCTCTTCTTTTCCTCACCTTACTTTAATTCTATGGAATTCAAATAGGATGAAATTGAATTCTTTAATTCCAATTTATTTTTTACACTACCAATTCCAAATCTACATATTTTGTGTTACCAAACATTAGAATTGGAATTAAAGTCTCCAATTCTAATTTGATGGCTTAAATTCTGTGCACCAAACGAAGCCTTAATGTTTTAATTTAAAAGGACTATTCAACGACAGTATTTAATTTTGTTGTTTTTAAAGTTTATTTATACCATTAATAAAATCATTCAAAATGTTATTGCTTATCGAAATACTATTTCCAAAGAAGGTCATCGTATCTATGTTGAGGTCAATGGTTAGGCAATTCTTAAAGATAGAACTTTCCTTCTTTCCAAATGATAGTGTGGTGCGTTTGAACGGCGTAACTCAAGTGGTTGAGAGGTGAATGCCAAAGTGGATAAGCTCAAGTTTGACTCCTAGCAACGACAAAAAAAAATCATGATCTATGAAGTTCTTGCATGATCGAAGGCAGGCTCCACTTCCTATTATTTTTGTTTAATTGAAGCTCAAAATTCATTCTATTCGACTCAAAAAAATTAAATTCGACAAATACACTTGACAAAAAGAGTAAATGAGATCAACAAGGACCCCTTAAGTGATGTAACCAATTTTTTACTCCCGAATTCTCGATCAATTACCCCATATCTTTTCTTGCGTAATTAAAATTCAGGTATCCTTATGTACTTGACTTTTGATAGTTAGCATTTTAGATTATTTTTTTAATGGTAAATGTTGTTGTTAGAAAGCTTTTTCAAAACACTACCCCGTCACCATAATCCTATACGGCTAAACGACCGTATCTAACGTCATAGCCTCAGTCTTTCAAAGGAGTGTGTATTTCTTTGCTTAATGATTGTCCTATATATGTATTTTCCGAAGAAAGAGGTGAAGGCCTTGTTTGGGAAGATTGTTTTTAATTAGCGTTAGCGTTTTGGATAAAATATTAATGGTGTAGATTAATTCGGAAAACACTAACGCTAAAAGCTACCGTCAGATAGCCTTTTCAAAACGCTAACGCTAATGCCAAATGAGGTCGAAGAAGCCACAAATAACTAAGAAAAGTGAAATGAAATTTCAATTTTGTGCATTACCTTTCATTACCCCTTCATATGCATCAGGGTACTATATGTATGTATGTATGTATTACTGTAATATTCGGACTGAGAAAACTGAAACTTTACATTGTCTCCAATAGACAAAAAGTATCAAACATACTACTATTTATCCAGTCAGGACTCGAGATGCATGGGTATTGTAAGAGTATGAAAAGAAAATGCTGAAAATCTTACTTTGATTTCTTGGAACTGCGCTTTTTCCCCTTGGTGTTGCCAGCTTTTGCCTCTGGGCCGTTGAGCCATTCAGGCGAGTTCAAGAAAATCTTGCAACGGTCAGGGTACGAAGCAAAGGGCCCACAAGTCCCATCGGTGAAGCAGTAAACGCCGCCGTCGAGGCATATGCCTCCGTGTTTCCCATCTTGTTCGTTGTCATACATGAAACGCTCATCGGCTATGTAAATGCAGTTGCCCTCCAATCCAAACTCCTGAGCTGGCACGGCATAGGAACAATCATCCCCGACAAAAAACACTTGATCACTGCCCAATGAATCCACATAGTAATCCCAGTCTCCCCTCTTTTTGTTGAGCTTGAGAACATCAACTTCAAACACTTCTAAAATGCTATAGTCTCGCTCAGGAAGCATGTGGACCAAGAACAAGTCTCCATTAGACTCAATCAAGTACCTTTCTTTGCGAGTTGAGCGACTATAGCAAAAATGCTCTTTAGAGACAATCTTCTTTGCCTTGAGATCCTTGTCAATTATAACGACCAGCCTGCCTAACGTATCAAGCGCATAGAACACATCTTTCTTTTTACTGTAGAGAATATCATAATAAGTAGCCCCACCTAGACAGTCAATTTGACTCCAATTCTCATCGCCTAGTTTTATAAACGCCAACTTTCCAGAGAAAAGCGCGAGAACAGCATAACCCCCTTCTTCACCAGAGTTTCTGGTCCAGGGAACTGAAGACATGACCACTTTCCTGAGGCTCATCTCGTAAAGATTTGTCTCCATCTTCTTGCCATGTTCGAAGAAATCCAAACTATATGCCTTTCCGATTTCGCGTATCCGAACATCCAGCAAGTTAAGCCCTCTGGGAAAACTCTTTGGGGTATGATCCTCGGTCATAGTTCTGGAGAATGGGCTCAGAGGGCGGAATTTCCCAAAGCCTCTCTTTCTTTCTAACCGGATCAACCACCACGGCGAAGTGGGTTGAGCTGATTGGAGTAAGTAGATGGTGCTGCTGGAAAGAATGAAGTTGCCGGGGCGGTTGGGGTTGATGAAAGCAGGGAAGGGGGGTTTGAAAGAGGCCCATAACTCAGGTTTGCGAAGGGGAACAGTGGAGCGCCAATTTGAACAAACAGAGCGGAGGCGAAGGTTGCCAATGTCTTCTTCAAGGCGGTCTGAAATCATAGCCAGAATCTCTGCCTGAAGGTGTGGCCATGGGGATGATGTGTGTTGAGAGTCCTTACCTGTCATGCATGGCTAATCAGTTGAAATAATATATACTATCACCTATTATCTCTGTTGCTGGTGTTTGGTGTCCATTCAACAATTTTTATTCGCATTAACAACAGGTATGTAAAGAAATATAAGTCATATAAATAATTAGAAATGGCGAGCGTTGGGTTTGGATCGGGTGGAGCTTCACCCTCGTCCATTCAATAACTTTTCATGAGTCACCCGATCCCCCCATCATCCATTACGTACATTATCCATAACCCGCGGGTGAAATGTGTGTAAAACTGATGAAATCAATATCAATTTATGACTGATAGCATTTCATTAAATTATTATGGAGTATAAAAATAGAAATAATAATAAAATTACTATTTTGTTTGACAATAATAGTACATAAAATTATCCCTTATTCTTTTTTTAGTGCAGTGGAAGAAACCTTAATTTACTTTACTATATGGAGTAGTCTATTGGTATAAGTATTAAAATTTTAACAAAAATATGTGGAGGGCGAGTGGTTAGGGCGATGGCTCGGGTGACGAGTGAGAAAAATGTACAATTCTACCCCCTCGGTCACCCAAATATCATCCATATCTTTTCAAGATTTCGTCCTCGTCTAATTAATCGGGTGTGGTGGTTCGAAACTTCGAATATCCATCGGATTCCTATACAAATTGTGATATCCTGCCTCTATGTCAACTTATTCATGTGAATGGCAACAGACAAGAAAGCTGCACACATAGTAAAAACATGTAAAGATGTGAATTCAAAGACCACAACGAGGACGACAACGAATACCTGCCATATCTAGCCTAGGTTGACAATGTGACACCAAGCGTAACTGTGTAGATTCAGCTTGAACTCCAGTCACCATGTGCTCAATGTTACTCCAAGAAGGAGTGAGCCCTTGAAAAGAACCCACTTCTGAACTTGTTCGAGCATCAAGATGATCATAGTGAGACCTTTCCCCTTGCTTCGATTGGTTAAACCTCGGCGGATATCCGTGTTTTTTGTAGCATCTCTCAATGGTATGCCCCAACAGCCCACAGTATGTACACATTGCCCTTTTCCCTTGCGAATTCGAGCCCCTTTGAGTTTCTTGAGGAGTGGACAATGTGCCTTCTTGCAGTAACTGGCGCTCGCGGTCCTGCAAAATTTCCATGACTTTCCCTAAGTTGGGAAGAGGGTTTATGAGCATGATCTGGAACCGGACGCCGGAGTAGTTCTCATTCAGGCCTTTTAACAAACAGATGACGAGGTCATCTTCCCGGTGCTTCTGTATCACCCCCAGAGCTCCACAACTGCACTTTGGATTGCAATAACAGACGGGGAGAGGCCGGAACCTGCTCAGTTCGTTCCAAAGGGTTTTGAGTTTGGTGCAATATTCACCCAGGCTTGAAGAAACACCTTGCTGCAGAGAATATATCTGGTCCTATAAATCTGAGATCCTGAAGGAATCGACATTCGATGAAGAAGCACCGCTCGCCGCCATTAATGGAGGTCAATCGCCTTGATTGAACAGACTCCTGATTGCCGCCGCTCTGATGACTGCAGAAGAAAGAAGAGAAACAAAATGGCAAAAGAGTGGGAAGAAACGATTGGGATTGGAAACGAAGAATTTGAAAAAGAGTTCGAAAAAAAGAAATAAGTCCAAACAACTAAAATGCGATCAAATAAACTAACGACATGTTTCAAATTCAAATTATAGATTTTGAATGTGGGCATAACTCATCTATTTCGCAATGAAGGTTAATTAAAAATTCACACACTTTATTTGAAATTTAAAATTTCAAGTTTTAAAATTGAAATTTAAGAAATCATGTTAGTACATTTTTTGGAAGGACCATATTAGAGCTTTGAGAATAACAAGTTGTATCCTAAAATGTCACATGGTGACGTGACACAATACAACCAATCAAAAAATGTAAAATCACGCAGTGACATTCTATTGAAATGACATGCCCTACAGTAGTAAGTATTATTTTTTTTGTCAATTTTAACGTTTTTGACATATTTTAATTAGTTCATTTGTGTTTTATTTTTCATTTTTATTAACATTCGTATTTTTGTGTAAAAATTTTAATTGTATAGAGAAAAAATTATTTTTAAAAAAATTAGTTTAACTATCCACATAAATTGTATAGTTTCGGATAAAAACATTAATTTTAAAAAATATGTAATTTTAGTTTCAAAAAATATGTTAGATTGTTTTAAAAAAGAAAATAGATTGAAATGAAAAAAACAACATACATAACTAAAAAGAGAATTAATATTTTTTGTTTCTAAAAAAAGGGTTCGATTATTTTTTAAAAAGTTGAATTTGGAAATGAGAAAAAAAGTGAGCCAAAACACATACAACAAAAAAAGAAGGATAAAAGGGATTAAGAGATAGCAAAAAATCGAGAAAACAGTAAACGTTGCGCCTTGTTATCGCCTTGGCTCTTCATAACGATTTGCCCTTTCATCAACTAATGTTAGTAATACCCTTTTATATGATCCTGTGGGCAAATAAATTTTTATGGAGTAACTGTCGTGTTACATAAACCCATAATGATCGCACTATGTTTGCAAGTTGAGGAAGAGCCTCTATGGCCTCTGATGGTGTAAATATAGATGAGTGGTTAACCGGGTTTGGCCTGGACACACTCGACCCGTAATATAAAACACACAACAAGAACACAAAGTATGACCTAGACCGGGTAAAATCTCCTCAGTCCGAATTATATTTCTTACTCTGTCTCAAGAGTGTACTATTTTAGTGAGATAAAGAATGGATCCCCTCCTCTATCAAATACTATCATATTTATAGAGGAGGATTTGTGACCTTCCCCTGTTCATCCATGGACAAAATAGGAAGCTCGTGGGAAGGTCACTGTAGATAATGGAAGCACTGTACAATCACAGACTTGCTACTAATACAACCAAAAAAGCACTGTTCAATCAAAGAATAAAATGGATATTCTCAATCCAATCAACCTTGCAAAATGACAAACATCCCTTTCACTGTGTGCCTCGTGACGGATGAGCGGCGGGGTGTCCCCTTGACCTCTGACGTGGTTCACCATGCATAAGAGACTGGACCAATGTTAGCAAAGTAACGTGGTATGACCGGTCACCTTTTCTCAAAGGTTACCCGGTCATTTCTTGAGCTCAGCCCGTCTCTCTGGTCTTCTATAATGTCCTTTGTAGCATGAGGCAACATTTTGGCTATCGCCCAAAATGTGACCGGTCACTTTTTTAGTGGAAGTGACCGGTCAACTTTTGACCCGTCCCAATTGAAGAGTTAACCTCATTTGGTGATTGATAAAAGTGACCGGTCATATATTGACCTGTCCCTTCCGGTTATTCGGGTCGGGTATAAGGATATACCCATCAGCCTCAAACAGGCTCATTTTTTCGTTACGAGTCTCATTTTTCTTACGAGGTATTGGTTTCCGTTATTGTATCCATGACACTAGCTTATTCACTCTCAATTGCTCTCGAGGAACCGTCATCATCCTAGTTTATGGTGATGATATTGTCATTACGGAAAGTTCTCCAACTCTAATTTCTAACATTACTAAAGATATGCATCAAGACTTTCGATTGAAAGAGCTGAGTCTTTTACATTTTTTCCCTTGGCATTGAGGTGGAGCGCATCAAGAATTTCATTCTCCTCCATCAAACAAAGTATGCATGTGACCTTCTCCGACGGGTAGGCATGTCAGAATGTCATCCTGCTATTTTTTCTATGGCAGCCCGACATGTGGTCACGCCATTTGTTCCATCAAGGGATTCTAGTCAATTTCGCATCATTGTTGGTGGTTTGCATTATCTCGATGTTATTGGTCTAGATATCCAATATGCTGTTAATCGAGTGTATTAAACTATGCACAACCCGACTCAACAATTTTTTCATGTCTTACCGCGCATTCTGCGATACCTAAAAGGTATCATACACATTGATCTTCTTTTTCAAAAGATGGGACTTGGTCTATCCGTTTATTCTGATTTTGATTGGGCCAATGACAAATATGATCATAATTCATAAATCGAATACTAGTTGTATGTTCATGCTTGGCTTCAATCTCATACCCTGGTGTACGAATCAGTAAATGTGTGTCTCTAGATCTTCTACTGAGGCTGAATATCGTGCCATGGTTGCAAGTGTGGCAGGAGCTATGTGGCCGTGATACATTACTCATGCTCTAGCATCTCTCCACCAAAACTTCTCCTTTACTGTGATAATGAATATACTATTTGTGTAACTAAGAATTTTGTTTTGCCTGGCCGCATGAATCATGCTAGTTCATACTGTCATTTTGTGCGAGAGGCACCATGACAACACATCATGTTCCATCCTCTGAACAGTTAGCAGATGTTCTCACACAACTGCTTCTATCAACTCTGTTTGAATATTTATGCTCTAAGCTGTCTCTCGTCTCTATTGATAAGCTTGCATGGGACAATAAGAAACAATATTATTACTTTCCTTATTTTATTATTTCTTCATTATATTGTTACCATAAATTTTTATTCTACTAGGATTAAAACTCTTTCTTGTAATCCATATATATAGAGATGTATTCTTCATTATTCATTAAGACTAATTATAATCAAAATGTATCAGTAAATAATAATTAAAATTTGTATAATTTGATAAAAAATGAAACTAAACTATTATTTTTAAAGTAAATTTTATAAATGGACCTTTATAATAGAATATCTTTCATAAATAGGTCTCAATTCTAAGATATTATTTTTGTAATTTTCAATATTTGATAATTATTTTACAACAAGTCTTTTGATTTAAAATTTAGTTTTTTTACATGTAGTCCTCAAAAATTATTAAGAAATATTTATTAAACTTGAAAACTACAAATGTAACATTCAAGAATTAAAATTTTTGAAATTTAATTTATTCTTCAAACCAAATTAAAAGCAAGGTTTTGGCGGTGAAGCCATAGCATTCATTTAACCAAGCTGCGTCCCGGGTTCGAATCCAATTTTTCATTCTAGCCCCTCCTTTACTTTCCTTAAAACGACGTCGTTGTCTGTTAGAAAATCGCAGATTTTCCTCTCATTCCGTTCATCGACTCCTCTAGGTGTTACTCTGAGTAAATCTCTCCGGCACGGCGTTCGACCTATCTCGGCAACCTCGCAGTCGCATACGGCGGAGTCGCAGTCCAAGCAATTTCAGCGAAGGTGAATCACGTCATAATCGGCGCCGGCGCGCGCGCGCGCGTCTGTTCCCGAATCCAAACCAACTTTTATTCAAAAAGGTTCGTAACTAATAATTACTGAATCATGAATTATACTGTAGCATATGAAAATTTAGAATTGATTCTTGATTGATAGTTGATTATTTACAACATCCTCTGTCCAGTTCTAAGGAGTTTAATAAAAGTGTCCAGAAGTAAAAAGTGTAGTTGGAATTTGTTCGGAAGAGTGAAAAGTTAGGGCCACATATTATTAGAGTAAATTCTATAGTTGGTACATGGTATATTTAGTCTTCTATTAACCAATTATCAAATAGTGTAGTATGTTCGTGGTCTTCGTTTATGGGTACCCTTCCATTGATAATCTTTTGCAACACCTTCTGTCGTATTGGTATTAAATCGAGGGATAAGAGTGTAATTTTCATGGGCCTTTTATCCTTCTTGCTATAACCAATTATAAAATTTATTCCATATTACTCCGTATTACTTTAAAAAAGGAAATGCAAGAAATTTAAACTTTATTATGGTACGACCAGAAAAAGGAGAGTATATACTTGATTGTCGGAATGAAGTGTACACCTAATTGATGGAATGAAGTATTTAACAAGATTGTTAGTTTATATTGAGAGTTGATTTTTTCAAGAGTTATTTCCAATTTGTAATTCCCAATTGTTGATTTTAGAATTCAATATTCTGTTTGATTCTTGGTTTCTCGATTGTCGTCTATCTAGTATTAGTATTGAATTAGATTAATAGTTTAAATTTGTGTTGGTATTGATTGATAAATTTGCAATTGTGAAATGTAGACATGTAGTTCCTTCTGATTATTGATTTTTAATTTCCTCTATTTGCTTTTTCTTTGAGTGTTTCAATTTTTCTTCATTTATATAATTATTTGATTGAATGATAATTGATACACTGCATAATTAATTTATTCTAATATAGGATATAAATATATTAAAAAAACAAACGTACAAGGAACTGAAATGGAGTGGTAGTGGTTCTAGTATGAATTCAAGTGAGCATGCACATTAAAAAATCTATTAAAAGGGGAGGTGGATTCATATGGAGTCTCACAGATCTCAAAACTTCACAAACCTCCACATAGGCTTTTATATACTAAGTATAATATTAGGTTTAGGGCACTCCTTCCATCCCAAAGTGAAGTTTATACTTTGATTTCATGATGTTTAAGAAAAGTGTTAGATATAACCACTACAACAACGACCCAGTAGGATCTCACAAAATAGGGTCTAAGAGGGTGTGTGTAAGAAAAGTGTTAGGTGTTTGGTGAAAAGTGAAAGATGCGTGGTTAAAATTTATTTAGAAGAAAGATAAACTATAAGAGCTACATATTCATTTCATTATAGGGAAAGCGGAAAATGTATATATCATTTTGAGACATCCAGAAAATGAAATTGTATACTAGTGTTTTGGACTAATGAAGCATTTATTTCGTGTGATACCATGAATGGCCCATCCTGAAATGAGAAAAAATGAAAAGGTCCCATGCGACAACATATTTTAGGCCTTATTGTTTTGTGTGGAGTACTTATGTTTTTAAAACTAGTGTCAAATGTAATTTTTCATGATCAATTATGCAAAACATTGACTATTAAAATTTACTCCCTCCGTCATATAAAAAACTTCTCACTTTATTTTCTTGCCCGTCCAAAAAAAATATTCACTTTCCTTTTAAGGTAAAGAATTTGTGCCTAAGAAAATGTCTCTCTCCTCTTGACCAATTCTAGCCACACCTTTTTCACTTTTCAATACTTTTTTTAAACTCTGTGAACAAATATAATTATTATATGCACTTACAATGGACTCGGGTTCTTTATACACCAATACTTTGATTTTACAAACAATGCTACGAACAACAGAAGACTCATTATCAAAACAAACACCATTTCAAACCTTCCAAATGGTGTAGACGGAGCAGGCAAGGGCAAGTCTGGCAGCCATCTTCCTAGCCACGGTTCTCCTGTGGTCTTTCCGCATCCTCCTCACAGCGATCCCTCTCAATGCCAAGCTACCAATGGATAGCTCCCCAAACCTGAGCTGAAACCAGGCAGCGGAAAAACAGGCGGGCAATGTTTTTCGGTTCTGCCCCACACAAAGTACAGTGCCAACGAATGCCCAGAAAAGCCAGGGCCTCCTTCGTGGGTAGCCTCTTCCTAAACGCGAGCCAAAGAGTAAATAAGAGTTTAGTTGGGATATAAACCTGCCATATGAAACTCATCCAAGGTTTAGGACTTTAGGGTGACCCCCCTAGTGTGTAGGAGATCATAGACCATTCTGGTGTCAAAATCCGGATTAGAAAAAACATGCTGCAATCCCATGTCAATGGTGGAGATCCCTTCAAGTTTCTCCAAAAGCTCATCGCAAATCTCTGGAAGTTTCTTAAATAGGTGTGAGTCCTGGGAGCATGGGAGTATGGGACCCACTCCTACACCAACCAACCCTCAAGATAGACCGCACATTCCCACTTAATCCAAAGGGTGTCCTTCACATGAATATTCCACAAATTTTAATTTTAGAGAAACAACATCTTCAAGTCAACATTTAGAACAAGTGTTCAACATGCACTCATTCTTGATGAGTCTCGTGATATAAATATTAAATAATGCTGTTAAAGAGCAATTGACTGTTGTCTTGCTTTAATGTATCACTTAAACCATTACTTTTATTTGATTTTATTAATGATACTCATATTATTCAAAATCACAAATATACTACTCCGTATTATTTTTTGTTTTGTGTTTGTTGGAAATTATGACATAATTAGAGTTTTTTGTGTTTGAGTTGGGGGGTTTCTTGGAGACAACCTCTTTACTTCTGAGCAGAGGTAAGGTTGGCATACAAGCACCCTTCCTAGGCCCTACTGGCTGTGGGATTTTTCTGGGTTTGTTATTGGTGTTGTAATTCGGGTTGGAGATTTGGAATACCTTGACTTCAAATTCCATGTTATTTCTCTGATTTAAAGTAGTTGCCCATTCCGAATCTATTTTGAATGAGAAAAAATATTACAGAAAATACTTATTTTGAATCATTGGAAGCTAATCACGGACTTAGAAAAAATGGGTTCTCAATCTCAGCCAAATGTTCAAGATTAGATATGGTGTAGTTATCTTCAACACGCAGGTTGTGGACTGGTGGTCCTGACTTTTTAGAGTTGGGACCCCATGGATTGCATTTATTGGGTCTGCCATTGTTAATATTTGCCCATATTAATTGTAGTTGCAATATTTCTTTTGTTCCTGACGACTTGTCTTTTGTTTTCTTATCAATAATCATTTGCCTTTGTCTTCTGTTCAATCAATCAAACAACTTACCTAGGTTTCATCAGCGCTATTGATTTCTTTTTGTTTGTACGATTACCATGTACCGCAGGAAGGAGCTTTTACCAGTTGCCTATGAAGATGTACTCAAGGATTTTGCTATAGGTTGTTTAGTCTAAGATCCAAGGGTCTATGCATCTCTACATCAAGGAGATCTGGCAATTGTTCAGTGATGTGGACAAATGTGTTCAAGATTGTATGCTCGTATTGCCTTAATTGAATATTCTGAATCTTCTCACCCTTTTCAGATTTAATTGCTGAATTTTGTTGCGAGTTCATATGTATATGGAAAAAATATTACATAAAAAATGTTGTTTCCCATTTTAGTCTTGGGAGGGTTGGATGTACACAAATCTCTACCCTTGTGTGGGGGTGAAGAGGTTATTTATAAAGCAAACACAGTAGCTCACACATTTTTATAAAATGCGTAAAAACTTTTTTTAAATGGCAATGTTATTAGAATCTTAATTGGAACTTGGAAGATTTATGCTTCCATTTATATAATATTTTGTAAGTAAAATGGTAGAAGTGTTTTCCTTGCATTGGAAAGTTCTTTGAAGCTTGTAGTGAGTCTAGCCATTTGTAATTTTTATTATTGTTGATGAGTATAGAAAGCCCATACAATCATATAAGATATGCTGCGCATCACATGTATATGGCTTAGTAATGGTTTTGGCACTTCATATCTTAATTTTTTTAAGAAATGTGTTATTATGCTCTTGTAATATCTTCATTTAGTACGGTAGACTTTATAATTGGCCATACGATCCTGTATGCAGGGTGGCTTACATCGTATATCGTGGTTTCAGTTTCTTCCTAATGAATCTGAATTCAGTTCTCTGCCTGATAACAGGTATTGTTTGAAAAATTTTAAATCATAAGTTCTTTTCTTGTGCCTTCTGTTTGGTGACTCTCTAGTGAGATGTCCAATTCTTGTTATGATGCCTACATTCATGATAGTTTTCCTAAATTTGTTTATGTAGTGTGAAATTGGATCAGAAAGCTGCTGCATCACTGCTTGTGCTGTCATCACATCTAGAGTTGCAGAAAGAAGGATTTCTCAGCGCTTGGACTAATGCTTTTGTGGGACCCTGGGACCCATCTCAAGGTCTTTATAACCCAGGTAATTTTTGTCTACATACGTGCTGCGTCCATTTGCCAATGGAGCTAAAAGAGTCGTTTGACAATGTTTTAGCTTCAGGTTAGTAATGGACTAAATCAAAATGTCACATTTAATGTCCCTTGCTTCTTACTTTCTATGAATTTTCGGGCGGTTAATCCAGCAATGCATCAAGGGTTTAATGGAAGCAACCTCCTTTTTTCTACAGGGGTAAGGTTGCATACATCTTGACCCCCTCAGACCCCAATGGAGTTGGGGTTGTACTGGGTTTGTTGTTTTTGTATATTTGCTGGGTTGTTTCTTGTGTTTTTATAATGCCTGTCTTCCTGCCAATCTGCAGATGAAAAGATCAAGCTCTGGCTTTTTCTGCCTGGGCATTTTTCTACTGTTGTTGAGAAGGCTCAGCCAGCAGTATCCAAATTAAGAGGTAATACTTTGTTTTAGTTATGAGTAAATGAGAATAAACGGTTAATTCGAAGTGAGATGCTTTCCATGAGATGGAATGTATGTGCTTGACTCTGCTTGCGTGAGGCCATTCTCACCTGAACCTGGTTTAAATTATGGTAGTTCTTGCATCTGGACACTGGGTCGCTCCTGGTGACTCAGAAGAAGTTTCTGCTGCTCTATCTCATGCTTTAAGGAACTCTGTAGAAAGGTTAGTCTTGTACTTTTATAGTTCTACTTTGTTAAGTATTTTACCACTTATATACTAAACGAATTTGCTTGAATTGACAGAGCACTAAAATCATTTTCATATATGAGATATGGAGATGTATTTGCTAGATGTTTTCCTTCTTCCCATAATGAAGATTCGTTCCGGTATGCTGAAAAACTAAATCTTTTGGTTTTAACACCGAATGACATGCTAGACCAAGTTTCTGCACATGGGATTCGCCTATTAATCACATTGCGCTAACTGCTGCATTTGGTCAATTTGTGTTTGATGTTTTTGGTAGGAGAGGTCAGCCAGTGATTGAGTTCTTTTTTAGTTCTACTGAAGAGGCAGTGTTTGTGCATGCTGTAATATCTTCAAAGTTAGTTCAGTTAGCTTCTTTCATATTATGAATTTGATAGATCATATTCACTGAATGCACTAATAACTGATTTTAGTTGCCTTTATGATTTTTCTATTGTTTCAGACATGCACGGGCCCTTTCAAGCAATGACATCGAAAAAATGTCAAAACATTCATCAAATTTTTCTGGAAACAGATTTCCAGGTTCTTGCCTTGTGCTAGTAGATACTGCTACACTACAAACCATTTTTTTGCATCTTTCCCCTCTAAATTGTTTAATTCATCGGATTGGAAATGGATTTTATATCCTGCAAGGGTTGATATGTTAGTCATTTAAGACCGGCACACCGCCTACTTCACGGTTTTTAATGTGACATGACAAATGTGTTAACTTTCCAGTTTTGCAAACAACGCCACAAACCCTCCATCCAAATGCTTTTTTTTGTCATCAGGCCACAACCCCAAATGTCATATCGGAGATTTGAAGTGCTCCTCAACTCCCACCCCTTGATTATTCTCCACACAGACCTTAATTGGAGGTGAGATCCCCCATTTTCAGTGTTACTCAAACCAATTGAAGAAATTATCTGACTTTAAGGGAAAGAGGAACAATCAGAACATCAGATTTTTGACGTCGATGTAGCTGAAAGACTTATGGTGTGGACGGGGAACCATGTCTCCGCAAGGTTCAGGCTCATCCTAGGATTTTTGTTGCGGGAGTAAGACGAGTCCACCGTAGTGGAAAGAACAAAATTCTCCTGGTTCTATTTCAAACCTAAATTCAAAATAACTTTGAAACAAGAAATGTTAATGTTACTGGTATTTCTAACACATAGCCTATATTTTTTTTATATAAAAAAGCACTTATAGCTAATGCATTATGGAATGTAATCAAATCTACCGTTAATAACATTATCATTTTGTAAAGAAGGTGCTTTTAGTTTTAACTTTGAAAAGAAGAAGTAAATATGACATTACTTAGTCTCAAAAAGGGGGATGTGGGGACTATAGGACATTGAGTCAACTTCTCTATAGTAAAGAAAGCAATACAAGTTTCCTAGGTTTATTCATTTCAACTCATGACTGAACTTGTTTATGAGATTTTTTTTACTATTTGCCACAAGTTTTTTTTACTAAACCAACACTTTGTTTCTACAAGATAATCCATATTCTTTTACTAATGATTATGAATGTTCTAATATCTTTTTACTCACTTGTATTTAGATGATTTTTTATTTGAATTTTTCATTGCCAAAATTGTTGTCTCGCCGCATGGAATGCACATGGGCTGATTGGATGTTGCCCAAGTGACCTTGTGAAGCAAGTATATCTCATGTCCAACACACGTCTTTGGATTTATACATCGTTTTATTCTAAATACAAGGTCAAAGACTTGAGATATACTTGCTTCACAAGGTTACTTGGGCAACATCTTCCATGCAGTGAGATAACAACTATGACAATGAAAAAATCAAATAAAAAATCATCTAATCACAAGTGAGTTAAAATGCATTATAACATTCCTAATTATTTATAAAAGAATATGGATTATCTTGTGAAAGTAAAATGTTAAGTACTCATGTTTAGTAAAAAAGCAACTCGTGTCAGATTTTAAAAAAATTCCTAAACAAGTTTAGTCGTGAGTTGAAATGAATAAACCTAGGAAACTCGTATAACTTTTGTTCCTTTGCTTTACCATAGGGAAGCTTTTTAATTGTTGGTATTTGACTCAATGTCATATAATCCCCACATCCCATTTTTTTAGGCAAAGTAATACCATCTTTACTTTTTTTTTCGAAGTTGAAACTAAAAGCACCTTCTTTGCAAAGTGATTGTGTTATTAACCATATATTTGGTTACATTGCATGATGCGTCATGTACTCATATTTGAGTCTCATAACACATTATTTTAATAATGAAATTGTGGGCTAAAAATGTCATTAATATTTCTTGTTTCAAAATTATTTTGAATCAAGGTTTGAAACGGAACCAAGATAATTTTGTTCTCTCCACTACGCTGACTCGGTGTCCTCGTTGGCTCGCTCTCACAACTAGAATATTAGGATGGACCGGCACCCTACCGCTGAGACATGGTTCCCCATCCGCACTATAAGTCTCTCTTCTACCTCGGCGGCAAAAACATCTCGGTTCTGATTGTTCCTCTTTTCTTCAAAATCTGAATAAGTTCCTCAATTGGTTCCATTAATACCAAAATGGGGGAATTCACCTCCAATTAAGGCTTGCGTGGAGGATAACCAAAGGGTGGGAATTTTTCTTTTACAATCTGCCACATGTTGCTTTTTATACTAAATCAACACTAAGTTTTTACAAGACAATCCATATTCTTTTATAAATGATTAGGAATGTTATAATGCCTTTTTAGTCACTTGTATTTATATGATTTTTTATAATTTTTGCATTGCCACAGTTGTTGTCTCGCCACATGGAATGCGTGGGAGGCTTACTGGATGTTGCCCCAGTGACCTTGTGAAGCAAGTATATCTCAGGTCTAACACACGTTTTTGGATCTATACATTGTTTTATTCTATGCATATAGATTCACATCTTTTTTATGTGGGCATTGCGGTGGAGTGGATTGAGCATGGTTATTATGGTTCTGATTATAATTCAGATTATTATTATTATTATTATTATTATCATCATCATCATCATCATCATCATCATCATCATCATCATTGTTATCATCATCCCAAGTGCTTTTATAACCCTGATTGGCTGATTGGCAGGACATAGATTCTTTGGAGTTATAATTATACTATATTAGCTTGGAGTAAATATATACGAGTAGTAGTTATAGGTTAATTTAAATGTTTATTTGAATTTTGACATGCTATTTCATATGTTACTTCATAAAAAGCTTTGTTTCTTTTATGTTTTCACTTTCAACTAGTAACCTCTTAACTTTACAAAATATAATTTGTTTCCACTAATTACCTTGTCATTTTACAAATTAATTTGCTTTGCAAAGCACAGACACTTACTTGTAAGGGTTGGGTTAACACTATTTTCTAAAAATGTGAGACATATTAGATGAGGACACAACTTATACACAAGCACACAAAAATAAATATATGCATAATAAAAAGTATGCATTTAAGTACATGCTCTAATTAACTAAATTAAAACATCCTCAAACACCATTTCCTTAATCTTGATGTACATAAATTAATGAGTTAAGTTCTTTATCATGAAGAGATAGATTGGTGAAAAAACTCATCCCCATGTCTCTGAGGTATCCACCATGTCCAATACTAGTAAAAGCGTGGGATACATTTGGTGGTCCCATGCATTTGAGTTTCAAGCTAACATCAGCTTTAAGATATTTTTTTCAACTCAGTGTGCCAACTGCCAAACATTAACCTACTAAATGGATTATATAATTAATTGTTTTAAACTTGTTCTTACAGTTCTGGTAAATTTTCCTCTTCAAAAGTTATTGTTGGTCTACCATACCATGTGCCTCAAGACTCAGGTTGTCAACGGAGGGGGGAAAACTGCTTTGTTGAAGTTTCTCTTGGGTGCCCTGTGACGGAAACTAGCAAGACACTGAGACCACATTCAAATTCACAGAAAAGCCTCATAGGCCATAATGCCACAGAATCCCAAGCAGTTGTCACAGTTGGTCAGAGCAGACCATCAGATATTTTTGAAAGAATATTTCTTTATCCAAGTGAGGCTGTTCTTGTTCCAGTCATGCAAACCTCCTATGCGAAATCATCTTTAAAAAGGTATTTGAATTATGCTGAAATGGCCATAATCACTAGGCGTCTTTAATCTCCTTAAACTACATTAGAGATTGGATACTCTATTTGATGGACGTGTGACCTGATGATTTTTTTTATGAAGATGCTGCATACAATTAATGTTTGAAAACCGTATCTATGATAACTATGTGATTAAAGGGAAAAATGGAATTGACATCTATAAACAAAGGTAAAGAAGTCCAGAAAACCTTCCCAAAAAGAATAGTTATTTTTGGATTAATATACTCTATGCATTAGTTATGTTTTTCCCTCTTTTTTCAGACCCTAACCTATAGTAGAGGATCAGCTGCCTATTGATGGTGAGATTAGAAGTCAAGAACTTTGGTTTTCTTTCATGTGTAGGATTTGAATAAAATTACTAACCAGATGTCTAATTCCTTTCATGTATTCAATACATCCATCATTCTCAACCTTCACTGCATTGAAGGAGAGTGATTTTCCCAAAGTTGGGATTCATATATATTAATTAAGATGAAATAATTGTTTAATAAAAGATATAATTTTCTGAATGCAAATCTAACCTTGATTCCTTTGAATTCCTGTGTGCCTGATGGAAATTAATGTTATCACAAACATTAAGGTTTAATCACTTGTATATCCAAATTATCAGCACAAGTGAGGGTTAAGCAGTAGTAAAAACTTACTGCAGTTCTAGTTTGCTTTGTCAATGTGGAAAACTAAAAGCATTTCTTTGCACTTGCAGATTCTGGCTGCAAAGTTGGATTGGGCCATCATTGTCTGTTTCATCCTCCTTCATGCATTGGTACTACAAGAAAAGTCATCTATATTCTAGAGTTATACCATAAGATCATTGTTCTTGAAATCTGCAGCTTAGTTGCAGTTCTGATTTTAAACAGTGACACAAAGGGCGATTTAAGGGACGGATCCTGGATGGAAGCAAATGGAATATGTTGCCAGCACAGTTATCGTAGTAGCAGCAACAGCAACAACAGTAGTTTTAGTAGCATTAGCAGCTCTTCCAGTGAAAGTGATTACAGGACTGCCGATCTTGAAGCTGATGCTGATTCTTTGATGTGTAGGCAGTCTGGCTTATCTTCAGATCAGTCACACAAAACGGTATTTCTGAAGTTCTTGAAGCAAAATTCATTCAAATATTGTTTTCTTGACGATAAGTATTTTGCTGCTATAGGGTTTCCATGTCTCTTCATATCAGGGATGTAAAATCTTTGAGAGAGCGTGCTTACCATGAGCATATATCCTGACTGCCGGCCTGTTCTTTAGGACTGTAAAAAAAGAGCTGGATGTTGGAAGAAACTGGAAAAAACTGGAAGGAACTGGAAAAAACTGGAAAAAACTGGAAGAACTGGAACAAACTGGAAGGAACTGGAAAAAACTGGAAGGAACGGGAAGGAATTGGAAGGAACGGGAAGAATCTGGAAGAAACTGGAAGGAACTGGAAGAAACTGGAAAAACTTTAAAAAATTGAAAAACGTAAAAAAACTTTAAAATTTTTTATTTTAAATTCTTGTTGTTATAAATTATTATTATTATTATTATTATTATTATTATTATTATTATCATAATCATCATCATCATCATCATTATCATCATCATCATCACGTTATCTTAGTCAATGCCTTTAAGATATAAAAAAAGTATTGTTATTTTTTAAATACAAAAAACTACTTTTGCAAAAAATAATTATAATATAAAGTTAGCATAAATATAAAAATATTAAATTTTAGAAGTCTTTATAGTTATATTGCACCTCAATTTATTTATGCAGTATTTATTATAAATAATACATTTGTAATTATAATTTATATATTAAAACATTTTGTTTTAAACATCATACATGTCACATAATCAAACCTATTGTTTCTTTCATGATTGAAATTTTATTTTCATTGAATTCCTATTTTTGGAATAAAGACATAAAACTTTTTTGTTTACATTTTTTATGTTTTACTCATATTTTAGTCTTTTTCTCTAAGTCGTTTTAACTTACAATTTTTTTTATAAAAATTAGAAAAATGAGTAATTTTTAAGTAATAAAGGGAAAACTGAGATGTCTTATAAAAAGTTATATTAATAAAACATTTAATGTAACTACTTTATCCATAATTTTTTTAGTATAATTTAACATATTGATGTTTTTCTATTTTATCATGTAGACTAATATACAAAAAAAATGTCTTATTCATATTAAAAAGCTGAAAAAAATAATAAGTGTGAATCGCAAAAATAGTGACATGAAAAAAATAATTTATAAACTATAGTTATGAATATAACAGTTGTAATAATAATAATAATAATAATCACATTAAAATATATCATTTTTAGAGTAATTGGTTGAGGAGTAGAAAGAATTTGAAGAAAATGAGAAAAGTTGGACGAAACTGGAGGAAACTGGAAGGAACTGGAAGAAATTGGAAGGAACTGGAAGAAACTGGAAGAAACTGGAAGAAACTGGAAGAAACTGGAAAAAACTGGAAGGAACTGGAAGAAACTGGAAGTTAAGAGTTCAAGCCCTAAAGAACATGCCCTGCATGGGCTTAACCAATGCTAAATATTCTATTTATTATACTATTTTATACTCCTTATGTCCCCTTTTAATCTTCAGGTTTTTCCTTTGGATCTATTCCGAAGTAATCTTTGTGTGGCCCATATTTTTCCATTCTTTTTTAAAAATCCATGCCAGGTCAAACTGAGGACACTAATTGGGAGCTAGGAAGTAGTTTAAAAAAATCGTCTCTTGAATGTTTACTTTGGTGCAAATATATTAGAGCTTGCAGAGTTCATGTGAATGTACCTTACAGGGCTTAAAGCGGTCACATGTGGGGATTTCTGAGCCTTACACTCAGGCAGGGGGAGTTGTGAATTCAGTGCATAATGATTATGCTTCCATTGAAGTTTCAAATTCAGCCATTACAGGAGTAAATGATCACATTGGCCTTCAATGGGATTCAGATGATGATGACATGGGTGGGGGCATTGATATTCAAGCACTTCTCTCTGAGTTTGGAGACTTTGGTGATTTCTTTGAGAGTGATGCTTTATCTTTTGGAGAGGTAATTATTGTCATTGTCATTATTATTATTATTATTATTATTATTATTATTATTATTATTAGCATAAGAACTAATAGTTGATATTTCATTATGTTATCAGCTTTATTAAATCGTGTAAACAATTATGCTATGAACCAATCTATTGCTCTCAAGGAAGACTTCTCTTAAATGATTGTAAAAATATTTTTCCATTTGAATGCATTGAACTGGATGAAACAACTATTGCAAATTTTCAGTGTTATAGAAAGCTAGCTAACTTTCAGCTTGTGGTTAATGGTGATCACAAACAAGTCTCTTTTTAGGCATTGGGGATGAAAACTATCTCAATAAAGTTGTGGTTCTGATATGTTACTCCCTTTGTCTAAAAAATACTTGCCTTGTTTTCCTTTTTAGTCCACCTCTAAAAGGTGTGCATGTTTCTATATTTGCAGCATTTTATGTGGTTTAGAGTGTTTCACTTCTTTGCACAAATTTCAACCCCACAGTTTTCACTTTATTAAAAACTATGCCTAGTCAAACTGGGCACATCATTTTGGGACGGAGGGAGTAGAACATCACGCTCATTCATCCAAAACATAAAAGTAAACCTCTTATTTGACACACCAATACCCATCTACTTTCAAATCTCCATCCTTTTGTTAATAATCACCTAGTGGAGTTGGTTTACGTGTACTGTTATGTATCCACTCTGTGCTTTTAATGCTCCATCTATCTGCAATGACATTCTTCTGTTTTCGTCTAGCAAGAAAATGTTAGTGCTCAAGTAAAAAATGTTTCTGGATAGAAATTTATGGTTGACGATGCACAGGAGTGTGCCTACCTAAGTGACTGATAACTGCACAATGTTTACTTCTCTTCTTTCTTTCTATTAAGAGCTTATGTATGTATTTTTATTTTTCAATGGTGAAGCCCCCAGGAACTGCAGAGTCCCATGCTCTTGCGTTTACAGGGACTGATTGCGGTGATATAGGTAGCAGTCCATGTACCTCTGTTATGGATTTGTCTGAGCAGACGCTTGCACCTGTAGGTTTTCAGTCATTTGATAGTTTTAATCAACCTCCACCTTTGGCAACTCTAGAAGAGTCTGTCACCAAACCTCAGGAAGTTGCCAAATGTACTGAATCTTCATACCAAGTAAATAACACTCCCACAACTTCTAGTAGTGAGTTTGATCATTTGATGAAGGCAGAAGCTATGATGACATTTGCTCCGGAATATGGTGCAGTTGAAGCCCTTGCAAGTGAGATCTCTCACTCAGTCTTCACAAGTCCATATATCCCCAAATCTCGTAAAGTAGAGACTGCAAATTCATGCACAACTAGTTATGTTTATAGTGCAAACCCACCTTCTCCTTGCTTTGGTGGGTCCGATACGAACTCTGGCATTGCTGCAAATTTTAAGACGTTGACAGGAAAACATGATGCAGCACCCACTCTTCAATCAAAGAAGTATTATACTCATGTTGAGTGCCAAAAAGGTGGGAATGATGCAAAGTTATCTAATTCTGAGAATTGTGCAACTCAGGAGGCTCAAGCAGCAGTTTCTCCATTTTCTGTTTTAGATTCTATAAATACTGTTAAACCCGTACAACGGAAAACTGGTAAAACAGACGAGGACTCATTTAAAGTTGAGAATGTTCTCCCATCAATGAAAACTCTCTTGGCCACAGAAGTTGAATGCATAATGTGCCAGGTGTATATGTGCAAGATACGACATACTCTGAGATCTTCCAACCGACCCCTTGTTGATAGCAGGTTTTCTGCATATACCACTGCAAGCCATCCGCCTGCTGATTCTATTGTCACAATTGATAATATGTCAAGCAAATATGAGGTGAAGAAGAAAGAATCAATACCTGCCAGGATAGCTGGTGATATTGATATCAGATTTTTAGATGGACCCTTCAATTCTACACTTGGTGTTTTACGTACTTCCCCTAGAGGCACAAAGCTGATATCATCTGGTATAGAAGCCTGCCAATCTGGACCGCATAATTCATACGTTGAAGAAAATATGCTTTCTTATGGATTGAGGCAACCACTCCAAGAGCTTCTTGATGGCATGGCATTACTTGTGCAGCAAGCTACATCATTTGTGGATGTGTCACTAGATGCAGATTGTAATGATGGGCCCTTTGGTTGGCTTGCAATGCAGGAACAACGAAGGCGTGGTTTTGCATGTGGGCCTTCTATGGTTCATGCAGGCTGTGGGGGACTATTAGCTTCCCGCCATTCCCTGGATATTGCTGGTGTTGAACTTGTTGATCCACTATCAACTGATGTAAGCTACTTCTATTAAACATTTTAAATGAATTAAAAGTTGAACAAAGAAACCCTATGGTTTCAAAGATACTGAAACAGAAGTTTCAGTTTATCATCTACAAGTGAATATGTTATTTGACTTGAGCTTTTGTGTTTCAGGAAATAACCATAGTTTCTAATGAGGAACTCCTGTAAATTGCTTGAGAATGTGACTGCTAAAATTAATTAGAAATCATTCTTCTGTGTCATACAAGTATTTTGAATTGTGACTGGCATAGAAATTTTATTCAGTGCACAGATATCTTTCTTTGGAGATGAGGGGGTTCGTAAATTATCATATGCATTCTCATTTTTTTGAGATTTTATAGCATGTTTTCTGGACAATGTAGCATAGACTTCAGTTTTTTTCATTTGTTGGTGCTAAATCCACCCCTTATTTTTGCTAAATCCACTCCATCCATTAAGAAATTGACAACTTTACCTTTTACTTTTTTCCCTTTTCTAAACATTAAGGGTAAACTTGTCCATTTCATATAAAAAGGGGTGGATATAGCCAAATGAGGAGTGGATTTAGCCAGTGTTGTCAAGTCGTCGCCTAGGCGTCGACTAGTCGGCGACTAGTCGTCCGGTCGTTTTGGAGAAGGAGAAATGCTGTGCGACCAGCGCCTATGGCCGACTAGGCTACTAAGCGCGCTAGGCGACGCTTAGCCGCGACTAGGCCACGCTTAATCGGAGAAAGAAAACCGCAGAATTTGACCTACTTTAATTGACCCGACCCAACCCGACCCGACCCAAATTTCATTAATTTTAAATTTTTTTTAACAAAACGCTCCTTCGGCTGCCTCCTGCGACGCAATCCACACACAATCCAGTCGCGCTCGTCTTCCAGTTCCGGCGTTACTTCCGCGAGACCGCGACTTCCAGGCCACCAGCGAGGCAGCGACTATCAACCATTGTCGATTATCTTCCAGCGACTCTCCTCATGGGTAAGTTTTCTTATAGTTTGTTATCATTAAAGTATTTCTTTTAATTTTTTTCTTATTCTAGTATTTTAGTATTTCAGGTTTTTTTTCAGTTTAATATTTCAATTTTTTTGGTTTTGTACTAGAAAACTAGAATAAGAAAAAAAATAAAAGAAATCTTAAACTGAAAAATTAAAATTTAATTTTCATTGATTTGATTCATTAAACAATAAAGTATGATATACTTTAAAGTTTCAGTTATTTTTATTTTTTTANACAAATGGGAGATAATAATATCCGTGACTACGAAGACGATCCATCCAAAGACCCCAAACGAAAAGCCAGCTCTAATGATCCAGATGGAAATATGGCTTTTGGCCAAAAATGAACAACAAAAATCTGGTGGAGTGCACATTATGCCACAAACAAATTAATGGTGGCATAGGACGTTGGATGATGATATTTGATACCTCAAAACATGGAATTAACTATTTTAATGTCCTTTGACTTCTTATTGTGTTAATTATCTTTCTTGGTGTGTTATTTTTTAAGATTGAAGGATATTTGCTTGTTATGTACTCTTTGTTAAGTGACTTTATGTGCTATCTTTAAACATAAATTTGATTTGGTTATGGTATTTTGACATATAAATATATATATATATTCTTGTTGGGTTAATGTAGATATATATAATGTTAAAAATTTCAATACTAATTATGATTTGTCGACTAGTCTACGACTAGTCTACGACTAGTCGCCTAGTCCACTAGTCTCCCCGTCACCGACTCGACTCGACTTGTCGACTTGACAACCATGGATTTAGCAACAACCTTTTTCATTTTTCCCTAAAATAAGTTTCCTTATGCAAGATGTTTTCTTGTCATCCTAGTCATCTTATCTTTCTCCAAGGAAAATTTCATTTAGTTTTCTATTGTTGACATGCACACCCTCTTTTCTCATAGATATTCTTGGCTGCCCAAAAGATGTATTTTATTTCCTATTTCATCAGTTTGTGTTGGAAGCCAGTGGTTCCTGATATTTTATTTTCATGGTCATGTCAATGTGCTTTTTGAGTTATGACCATCAACGATTTCGGATATTATTACCTGTGATACATGAACTGATATACAGAGATATGCATGCACAGGTTCAGGCTTCATTAGCAATTAGTTTACTTCAGTCTGATGTCAAATGTGCTCTTAAATCTGCATTTGGCACTTTGGATGGACCATTATCTGTAACTGATTGGTGCAGAGGTCGTGGACAATGCAATGATGCTGCATTATCAGGTGATGGATTTTTGGTGGAGCCTACAGCAAGTGCAAGTGAATGCCGAGATTCTTCAAGCACTGTATCTTTGTCTGCTGGGGAACCAATAAGCCCATCCCTTTCTTCTGCCATGACATCATCATCCTTCAAAGGTATGAGAATGCTCATATATCCCATCGTCCTAAATTCTATCTTATTGTGTTGTGTGATTGCCAGATGGATCAAGAGGGGATGGAGCAACTGACCGAAGATTAAGTCAAGAGGCTTTATCAGAATCAGAACACCTATTAAGTATACGTCCCAGGCCAACTATTGCTGCAGTTCCATATCCTTCTGTACTTCTTGGGTATGGATAAATATAGTTTTTTACGAGTCAATTGATAATTATGCCTCATTTACATAATAGTTGCCAACAATTTGTTTTCCCAAATTTTGGAAGGCAAATGATTTGCACTATTCCACTATGTTTAGCAGTAAGCTTTATAACTTTGTCCATATAATTCACGATGTAGTATTCTTAACGCGTCCAAATTGAGATCTGTGTTTTGGTATCTACTAATAGCTATTCATAGACCATCTCCCCAACGATGGATACTCACAATCTCACATATGAATTACTGAATTGGTTTTGATAATTGCAGATTTGCAGTAACTATTTTTAGTACTCTAGCATGATGATATATAAATATACAACTAAATCAATCTGTCTTAATAGGTACCAAGATGATTGGCTTAAAACATCACCTAGTTCTCTACAACTCTGGGAGAAGGCTCCTTTTGAACCTTACGCTATGCCAAAAAATGTAAGTTTTGAATGGTGAGCAATCTGCATATTTGTTTTTGGGATTCACCTACTTGGATAGGCAGAAATGCTGGATTTGATTAACAGTTCTTAAGAATGAATAGTTGAGTTGACCTTGCTCATTTCACAATTTTGCAGATGATGTACTATGTTGTATGTCCAGATATTGATCCATTAACAAAAGCTGCTGCTGATTTTTTTCAACAACTTGGAAGCGGTTAGTACATTTTGATAGGAATGTTGATCCTCACAGTTGGTTGTACAATAAGGAAAACCTTAGGTGCAAACTCTTATGATGGGTCCTCTAAACTTTTATACTGTAGAATCGGGAAAGTGCTGACTTTAAAGTGAGTCAGAACAACTGGAACTACTTTATTGCTTATGCCCAAATTAAGGGAGACATAAGTAAACACATAATATGCTTTGCCTAGTTGCTAGAGAGATACTCCTATTTGTGCTTAGCGAAAGCAATTAATGAGAGATACTCCGTATTTGGGTTCTTAGATAGAGTACCTGTACTCTCCTCCTTACATGATCTTGGTTCATACATGTTGATAATAATAATCTTTTAAAAATCGCCCTTACATCTTCATTAAGTGCATCAGTTATTTTGTTATTGGAACCACTAATCCTGTCCACTGTTAGGAGTTGTTCACGTTGTTTGTTGTTCCTTCAAAAGTGAATAAGAGCATGGTCGATTCTCTCTTTTGAGTTTCTTTTTTCATGTTTGTAGTGTATGACACTTGCAAACTGGGTTCCCATGCACCTCATTGTTCGGGAAATGAGATGGAGATAGATTCTGAGAAAAACTCTTCAGGTTTTGTTTTAATTGACTGCCCTCAGTCTATGAAGATTGACAGTAGCAGCGCATCTATGCTGGGATCAATCAGCGACTATTTTCTATCTCTTTCTAATGGATGGGATTTGGAAAGCTTTCTGAAGTCTCTTTCAAAAGTTATCAGAACTTTAAAACTGAGTTCATGCCTGAACCCAAAAGATGGAAAAAGTGGTCCATGCACTGTAAGTTTTGTTTCTTAACCTGCGATTTTTTTAACCTTTGCATTTTTATAAGTGATTGTTGGTCTGGGATAAAATCAACTTTGTCAGGGATCAAATAAGATGGAGCTAGCAATTGTGGATGTGGGGGTGTTTTTGGTTCTCAGAAAAAAAAGGACATGAAAAATCATTGATTTATTGTGCACATGTTTAGTGTGTTTGTTTGTTGATATTTCCTAGTTGTGTCAAAATTATTTTTGTCAGTTGAAATATGAGCTTGCTCTATGTGTAATCTTAATATCCTCTGTATAGTCATAGAATGGACTCTGGAGTAGAGAACTCAGTCACCTTTTACTATGGGGCGATGACCTCAGAGCTGCTAGCCTGCTAGTTTTGCCTGATTTTTTCTGCCCAATAAACAGTACTGGGTAATAACCAGTATATGAACAGTACTGTTTAAAAACAATCTGTTTTGGAAGTACGGTCTTCTGAGCACTTTTTTCACAAAACTCGATTTACAAATCGTCTTAGGTTGCACTTTCTTCCGGACACCGGATCTCCCCTTACAGGCCCACGGGAGCCACTTTCTGGTTCCCCTTTTGGCGTTGTCGCCATGTGCCAGCAAGTGGTACCATCTTCAGTGACCTTTGCTAGTTAAATGTATTTCATTTTTTGAAGCTAAGTCTAATGTTATCCAGGGTTCGTAGAACATTTATTGTACTTGACTCTTTGGCATTTCACATACTGTTTTTGTAACCAGCTTGTGGCTCGATAAGTTGTAATGGACTAAATCAAAATGGCAGATCATACTTCCCTTGCTTCTTACTTTGTATGAAGTTTTTGACAAGAAATGCATCAAGGTTCTAAGGGAAACAACCTCTCAATTTTTACCGGGGTAAGGTTGGTACATTTTGACCCTCAGAACCCCAACAGAGTTGGGATTATTGTAGGTCAGCTGTTGTTGTCTCATGTATTTGTCTGGTATATGAGTGTGAACAAGATGTTTTCTAGTGGGCTAATGATATATACTCGATGATTATGTAGGTATAGTTGTGTGTAATCCTCCTATATGGTTCTAATATGGAGTAAATAAAACCAGCCTCTTTTTCAACAAAAAAATCAATTTCAGTTTGCCCCTCTTTAATTATTTATTTGTAAGGACCAACATGCCTATTTTGTGTTTGACCCTGAAAAATTGTTTGTTTTTGGTTTGCTACCTACACGATTTGAGCATGTCCGAGTGGATTGTTCTAAAAGAGGATTTCTACTTTGTGGTAGGTGAGAACACAGTCATAGGAAATTGTGATCCAATGGATATGAAATCTCACATGTATATATTTATAGCTTAGGTATGTGACTGAAACATGAAAAGGCTAATAGTTTTCTAAATAGAGTTGTGTGAAGATGTTGGTGAAGATAGGGAAGTGTCGAAACTCAAGGATGACATCGCTAACTTGGCTACAATCTTTGTAGCAATGATAATGCTTAACACTTTTACGTGTCATTTATAATTTGTAATATCTCGAGGATAAGATATATAAAAGTGCTCATAAATAGGTTATTGTTCTTAACTATGAAAGAAAGAGATTGTGATTTAAAAGCTTAAAAATAAAATTATAATCATTTTGCATGCTTTGCCTAATTGCCTTTGCTCTTTACTTGGTACCGTATTCACTTATGTATATTTGTAATAGTGTGAAGAATCTGCTAAACATTCACCATTCAGTTTAGCTCTAGTCGTTGCCAATTTTCATTAATTGCTTTAAATAGTAAGCTCATGCTCTTCATGCATTACCTTCTTCAAAATTTAATATTGTTTTCTTTGTCACTGTAAAATCAGGTTATCTATGTTGTATGTCCCTTTCCTGAGCCTCTTGCCATCTTGCAAACTGTGGTTGAGTCTGCTACGGCTCTTGGTTCAGTTATTGTTTCTTCTGACAAAGAAAGGCGATCTACATTGCGCAATCAAGTTGGGAAGGCTTTAAGTTACTCAGCAGCAGTGGATGAGTCCTTCTCAAATGTCTTGACACTTTCAGGCTATTGTATCCCTAAATTGGTTTTGCAGATAATCACAGTTGATGCCATTTTTAGGGTCACAAGCCCTCCACTCAGTGAGCTTGTGATCCTAAAAGATATTGCATTCACTGTTTACAATAAAGCTCGCAGAATTTCCCGCGGATCCGCAAATGACATGGCCCCTTCATTGTCCATATCAAATAGATCACATCCCGCCCTGATGCAAATGAGTTCTCCTGTTCCAATGTGGAAGGATTATGGTTCTAGAAATATAGGTGTTTCTTTCCAGAGGGAGGGTGAACTGGATGCCAGTTTGAGGCATGGTACCTGGGATAACTCATGGCAGACATCAAGAGCTGGAGGAATTGGAAGCGATCCAAACCGAACAGGAGACCTCATATTCCAAGACGAAATCCGATATTTATTTGAGCCACTTTTCATTCTTGCTGAACCTGGTTCTTTAGACCGTGGACTCTCATTTCCTGTTTCTGGCAACCTTTCATCTGACTCTTCTAAGCTTTTGTTGGATGATGGTATAAGCGGGTGTGGAGATATTGGAGCAAGCTCTCTGTCTGAAGGGGCAGAATTAGATGGATCTAGATCTTGCCACTCAAAATTGCACTGTTGCTATGGATGGACAGAGGATTGGCGATGGCTAGTATGCATATGGACAGATTCAAGGGGAGAGTTGCTTGACAGTTACATACATCCCTTTGGAGGAATCAGTAGCAGGCAGGATACTAAGGGTCTGCAATCTCTTTTTGTCCAGATCTTGCAACAAGGGTGTCAGATACTTCAGGCATGTGCCCCTGATGAGGCCATTGCAAATCCCAGAGACTTTGTGATTGCACGTATAGGATACTTCTTTGAGCTAGAGTGCCAGGGTAAAAAACACTTTTCTCTGCTGTTATGCTGGAGTTGTCTCTTGGTTTAAAATGATTTTGTGATACTTAAGATATTCTATTGGTCATTCCATGCCTTTTCATCAGTCCTAAATTTTAATAGTTTTCTAAGATTAGAAAGTGAGCCACAACTTCAACTTTATTAAATTGAATATCTTTCATTTTTGACCCATATATAATGGCAAGGGGGTCTTTCAGAAACATCTACCTTTTCTAGGTAGGGGCAAGGTTTGCGTACACCCCCATCCAACCACCCACCCACCCACCTAAAAACCTCATTCATGGGATTTTACTGGGTTGGTTGTTGTTGTTGTTGGCCCATGTGTATAATGGCATTTTCAGATTTAGTTCAGTTCATGGCTATTAATCAACACACATTGAGTCCAGAGTGAATTTATGTTTATTTTGGTCTCATTGGTACAATAGTAATCCTTGTTGTACTTTTGTGCTTGACAAACCAAATGTCAAACTATATCTTGAGTGTGGGCCAAAACTTGGAGTCAGTCTCAAGTAGAGAGCTAAATGTTTTCAATAAATTTTGTAGTCCAAAGCCGTTTTTGTCGAACCTTTTGCATTTTTAGCCTGTTCAGTTTCATGTTTCTGTGCTGTTGTTATATGAGACTATGGACTGAGTCTCAAGTAGAGAGCTAAATGCTCTAAGGAGTAAATACTGACGATGTGGCTATATATGCGCAGAATGGCAAAAGGCACTCTATGCTGTTGGGGGTTCTGAGGTCAAAAAATGGCCCTTCCAGCTTCGTCGACATGTGCCTGATGGGGTAGCTCCAAACAGTAATGGGACTACCTTACAACAACAGGAAATGAATCTAATTCAAGAGAGAACCTTACCCTCGTCTTCTAGTCCACTCTACGGTTCCCACCCGAAATCTTCTGCATTTATGAAAGTTGGTTTGGGGCAGCCCAACACAAGACAGCAGCTAATTGGCGGACACGCCGTGGTGGATAATTCCATAGGTTTACTTCAGTGGGTCCAAAGCATTAGTTTTGTATCAGTTTCTATCGATCATTCCTTACAGCTTGTGGTTCAAGCAGATTCTGCATCTCAAGGTATCTCTCTCCCCTTTTAACCATGTCTTTCTTCTAGTATTCGCTCTCCTCCATTCCCATATTATCTACCTTCCCATCTGTTTTTTGTGGTCCTTTTCATTTTCCCCTGTAATTTTTATGGGTAATGCTAGGGGTGCTCAATGTCTATGCAGTGTCTGTCAGTGGCGGATCTAGAAAAAATATCAGTGGGGGTAAACACTAGGGGTGTATACGAATTGAATCGAAGCAAATATATCACTATTCGATTCGTATTCGATTAAAGTGGTATGTATTCGAATTCGGATTCGTATATAATTCAAATTTTAAAAAACATTCGTATTCGATTCGATAGATATTTGACGTATTTGAATTCGTATTCGAATATTCGAATTCGAAAATATTAGTAATTTTTTTCTTAAAATAGATTTCTTAAAGACATTAAATTATTATTTTATAATAATGTAAAATGTAGTAAAAATATGTTAGAATATATATAAATTTATTTATAAATTATAATATTCGAATTTATATAAATTTATATGTACACAAAAAATTAATATATTAAAACATGTTAAAATATGTACACAAATATTTAATATATTAGAATATATATAATTTATTTATAAATTATAATATTCGAATAATTCGAATAATAAACGAATCGAATCTATTAACATTTGTATTCGAATTTGAATTTAATTCGAATCTAAAATATGATTTGTATTCGGATTCGAATTCGAATATAGCGAATACGAATCATCCTTTTCGAATACGAATCACGAATCGAATACATTTTATTTGATTTGTATGCACCCCTAGTAAACACACATTAAAGAGTATGGTGGGGTTCAGGGGTAGCGCTACCGATATTTTTAAAACGTTTGATAATGATAAAAAATAAATAAATTTAATTTCAAACAAGTATTCAAATAAGAAAAAGTATTTTTAAATTAGAATAATAAAATATAAAATACTCCCTCCGTCCCACAAAAAAGTTCCCATTTTGACCATAAATTGGTCAAACAGTTATACGCTTTGACCATAAATTAAATATAATCTAAATAATGAAATGCTAAAAAAATTTGAGATATCAAAACTAGATCCTAAGATGAATCCAATTATATTAAATTTATTTTATAATTCAATATACTTTTCTCACAATTTGTAGTCAAAACATGTAAATATTTGACTAAATACTATNGTATTTTTAAATTAGAATAATAAAATATAAAATACTCCCTCCGTCCCACAAAAAAGTTCCCATTTTGACCATAAATTGGTCAAACAGTTATACGCTTTGACCATAAATTAAATATAATCTAAATAATGAAATGCTAAAAAAATTTGAGATATCAAAACTAGATCCTAAGATGAATCCAATTATATTAAATTTATTTTATAATTCAATATACTTTTCTCACAATTTGTAGTCAAAACATGTAAATATTTGACTAAATACTATTCAAAATGGGAACTTTTTGGTGGGACAGAGGGAGTATATCATAACATAATATAATTATGATATTTCAAATATATTACCGGTATATCTTTTTAAGTGATTATTTTTTACTTTTAGACTAAGATTTTCTTTTGTCAGTGGAGGCAAACTAATTTTTTTTACCGGGATCGTTCTTTTAATTTTCTACAAAAAAAAATTATTTTAACAATGTATATTACATCGTAAAAAAAAGTTGACTGGGGCGACTGCCCCCATATTCATACATGTAGAGATATTCATACATGTAGATCCGCCCGTCTGTGTGTGTCTGTTTTTACTTGGTTTACAAATGAGGTACCCCATTTTGGTTTATCCCTAGCATTATTGAATTTTTATGTGATGTAGTGCCTCACTTTTTTTTCTCTAGGGGCTAGTCAAAGCAGTACCAACATTTCTTCTGGCCCTCCAAGTTATCTGGAAGGATATACCCCCGTAAAGTCCCTCTCTTCGACTCCCGCGTCCTACTTATTCATCCCCGCCCCCAACATGCGCTCTCTAGCCCCTACAAACTTTCAGCTTCCGACGTGCCTCACCGCCGAATCCCCACCCCTGGCCCACCTCCTCCACAGCAAAGGCTCTGCCCTCCCGCTGTCAACCGGTTTCGTCGTGTCAAAAGCAGTGCCTTCGATGAGGAGAGACAGTGCAAGCATCTCAAGAGAAGAATGGCCTTCTGTTCTCACTGTCGGTCTCGTCGACTACTACGGCGGTGCCCGGGGCCCACAAGAGAAGGTAACAACCGTTAAGGGCAGCGGGGGCTGCCCGAAAGCAGGGGGGCAGAGTTCAGAAAGTAGAGAATCCGAAACGGAGACCCACCGCTTGGTTCTGGAGAGTGTGGCTGCAGAGCTCCAGGCACTGTCATGGATGACTGTGAGCCCCGCTTACTTGGAGAGGAGGACCGCCCTACCCCTCCATTGCGACATGGTGTTGCGGCTCCGGCGGTTACTTCACTTTGCTGACGTGGAAGTTTCCCGGTTGCCCGAAAAGTCCCCGGGTTAGTAGTACTATATAGTAGTCCGTATATAATGTAATACTAGCAAGATGTAAAAGGGTGTTACTATATCCACTCCCATTTTGACTATATCCACCCTTTCTATATTAAATGGACTATTTTGCCCTTAGAAGTGACGTTGCGTCAAAATTCTCTCATTTGTATTTTTGAGGTTAAAATTGTCAATTTAACATTAATGGAGTGGGTATAGTCAAAATGAGGGTGTGGATATAGCAACAAGTAATGTAAAAATATGGATAGAAATCATCAAAAGTGTGAAATTCTAAGGAGCATGTGAACATTTTAATGTATCCAAATAACCCAATTGTGGAAATGTGGACACATTAAAGTGTGGGCTCATTGGTTTCTTGGAATTTTTCCATAGACCCATCTCATTTTGTATGTCTATTTATAATTTCACCCATGTAAGAATTAGTGGCACTTTTTAAATTTTTGAAAATTAGTGGCAAATTTTTAATGTACAATTGTATCATTTGCAGTTTGAAATGTGTTCATGAACGAGAAAATAAAGAATTTAGAATAAATAGATCGTGAACTAAAAGTGATTACCGTCCAGGAATTTCCCTCGTGATTTGATCTTGCACATATGCTTCCTTGTGTCAAAATAATCATCTCACTTTAACAATACACAAAATCTACATTTAAAATTATTTCTGATTTGATCTGATCTGATTCTAATAAGAATAATTAAAAAGTAAAAAAAATAATATAGGGAGAACATGACTTAAATTAGAAGTAAAATATTTAAAAAATATCAAAATATGAGTTTTATGTTTTTCCTCAATATAAGAGTTACAATATTAATAATGTCAATATATAACACTAAAAAGTACGGAGTATTTCTTACTACTAGAGAAGAGCAATATATAATGTCAAACTGTTAGTCCTATATTGGTATTAAAATATGGATTTCTATTTTTGGTGTTTTTTAATATTTTTTCTTCTAGCATTGTAATTTTTTATTTAAGAATTGGGATAGCACTCAAAAGTATAAGTTGCATATTTTAAAAATACATTAAAGTATTCTATAAAATAAGATGTAATAATATTTTATTTTATCAAATAATCAGTGAGAATGCATGAATAAATTAAAGCTATCAAGATGCCAAAATTCTTACTTACACGATTTTTATGAGATGAAGGGAGCATTAATAAGAGATGCAAAAATTAGTTACTTTCCACATTTAGGCTCCATTCCGTTCAACTTATTTTTTCTGATCTGATCTGATTCTAATAAGTTCTGATCTGATCTGGTCTGATCTGATTGGATCTGATCTGATCTGATCTGATTGGATCTGATCTGATCTGATTGGATCTGATCTGATCTGATCTGGTCTGATTTGATCTGATCTGGTCTGATCTGATTAATTATTATTTAATTTAAAATTTCAAATCAATAATTTAATTTGACTTTATAATAACGTTTTAAAATTGTAATGATAATTCATATTATAATATAATCAATATTTTTTATTTAATGATTATTTTTTAATAAAATAAAAATAGTTAATTCATATATTAGAATAATCATTCATATTATAATGTAATAATATTTTTTATTTTATGATAATTTTTTTGTAAAATTAGAATTATACATTAGAATAAATATTTAATTTAGATATACATTAAAAAGTAATTAAATTTAGATAATCAATATATAGAAGAGATAGTATTTTTATTAAAATATCT